AAAAAAAAAAAAAAAAAAAAAAAAAAAAAAAAAAAAAAAAAAAAAAAAAAAAAAAAAAAAAAATAAAATAAGATTTTTAATTAACTGAACTTGCAATTTCTATTCGGTAAATTCAGGAAGGTTCTAACAATCATATGATGGTTTCCATTTAAAATATTAAGATTCAATAATTAATTATTTGTTGTCCTTATCTTAAGAGGAAAAATTATTATTTTTTTTTTGTCAAACAAAAAAAATAATACATATTTATATCCCTATATATAAATATAACCATTAGACAAAAACCTTCAGAAAAGACTCTGGTTTCTTTATTAAACACTACTTCGCTTAATGGCCATCGATACCACTCCCTTCGAATTCGGCGGCGACGGTGACGGCGGCCGTCGATGCGGCAAGTCTTGCAGCAGACCTTCTAAGTACGACGTCGTCGGAGACATCTTCTTCGGTAAGGATGATATGAAGGAATACGCATGGGATGGAGCTTTCACTGAGAAAACGGTTCGATTCATTGAAAGTGAGTCCGCCATGAAAGCTCTGAGAAAGAGAAGCAATAGAAGGCCAGAAACATTCGATTGCTTTGAGTTCTTGAAATTCGTGTGGTGCTTCATATTTTAACTCTCTTCTTCTTCCACGAACATCGATTCGAATGTCTATATCCATCGATGAATTTCGATCTCCTTGTTTGTTTTCTTTCTCCTTCTTCTTCCTTGCTCGATCGATGCTGAATCATCGAAATTTTCCGAGCGAGGATTTGTAATTAATTAGAATTGTGATCTCTGGATCCGTCAATTGAAATGATTAAAATGCTTCAGATATCATCGATCTCTGCTCGTTTCAATCTGTTTGTATAGGAAGACGAGTGAAAATTGTGCTCTGAATCTGAATAATTTTCTTGGAATCCAAACAGTATTAGGTGAACCGAATGATGCCAAAATTTTGCTTGATCAACTCGAATTCCTTGGAAAGCAATTTGCATTCTACAATAATGGAGTTGTTGATAAATCTCTCTGTTCTTATTTTTCAATTGTCACACGTGAAAATCAAGTGTAAATATGAAGAAGAAGAACAACAACAAATTAGTGAAAAACAAAATTCAAATCCAATAAAACATATAAAATAATTCAAACATTTTTTGAAATTATGATTTGGAAAATGAACCCACCAAATTTGTCTGGACTAAAAAAAAATAATAACTTTGACCAAACCAAATAATTTATTTGGTTTATTAGAGTGACCTTTAATTCGGAGTAGCACGACGTAGCAACATTTTTATTAAAAATGTATAAAAAAAAAAATTAGAGTGACTCTTAATTCGAAATGATATAGAATAAAAATTTTAACAGATCGGAAAGCGACCTTACTACTTATAATTTTAAAAGTTTAATTTAGTCTGCACGGACTAAATTTAATATAAATTATAATATGGTTAGAAAATTTTGATTTTTATTATAAAATAAAATAGAAAATAATAAATAAAAAAGAGGTGAGGAAAATAAAATTTATAAATTGGAGGTTTGACCGTCGGTGCATTTGATTGTGTTGATGCTTTCCAAGTTTGATTGCCAAAGAGCTTATCATATTCCTTTTTCCTCCACTCATTTTTTTATATATTTTTTAATATTATTATTATTATTATTATTATTATTATTATTGTAAACATTATAAACATTATTTTATTTCTCAAACCTATAGAGGATTCATTTTGTCTGTGCATCACTTGAAACCGACCATCCATTTTTAAATCACAATAATTCCAATAATCTCAAGTGTTATTTTATTTTTTTTTATTTTTTCAATGTTTTTAATTTAAAAATAATTGTGGGAACCGAAATCACAAAAAAAAAAAAAAAAAAAAAAAAAAAAAAAAAAAAAAAAAAAAAAAAA